TGCAGCTCGGCAACCCACATTGAAACCGATCTCGCAAAATGGCCGTTTGAAAATGTTGGCACGCGCGGGCTATCGTCGGCTGCTGGCAAGCCGCTGGCCCGCACAAGTGGTCGCTCGGACCCAGGCTATGCAAATCCTCGCGGGCGCTAAATGCAGAGAAAGCTGCCTGGGCAGCTTCGAGTGGAGAATTTGCTGACTCACTTGACCTTGAACTGGTACCTGGAAGCGGTGGCGCCTCCGTGTCGTCTGATGCTTCCTCCGAGATATCACTCCCGGCGCCCTCGACTAGTGGTGCTTGGCCCACTCACCACTTGTTTCCCCAACTGTTGAACTGCTGATTGCCGGGGCGGGGGCTGCGAGACCTGTGCTGATAATCGGTGCCCGCCGTGCCCTTGGGGCGCTTGGCCGGCGACCGGACAGGCCGGTTGTCAGCCTCTGTGCCGTCGGAGCTCTTTTTTGCTCCCCTTGCCGCCCTTGTCGGCGACGCCCTTGGCGCAGCCTTTGGGCTGACCCTTCGACTGCTGCCCCTTAGCTGTCACAGCCCGGCCAGCCTCCGTGAAGCTTTTGTTTGCTTTGTCTTTGGCGTCAGCCAGGTTTTCGCGATCGATCTCGGCGAAGTAAGGCGCCAAATCTACGACGTCTTCCTCCGCGGCCCTGGCCATGGCCCTCCTCTGGAGAACATCGTATTGATAAGCTGTCCTGACTCCGCCGTGTTCCTCGGCGATTCGCACGATGTTGTGGGCGTACAAGTTCTCGAGCTGAACTGATTCCCGCAGGCTTTGCGACGAATGTACGTCTGCCCAACGGCAGTCCGTCTGAGTCGGCCCAGGGGGCAGCTGAATGCGAAGGGTGCCTGTGGAACGAACAGAGGTAGCAAGCAGAAATGCTGGGGGCCGCTGAGGAGTGAAGGTCTGCATGGCCGTGCACTTGACAGGCGTGTCCTGCGCGGGCGTGGCAACGCCCCTGTTGCCGGCGTCGCCGACCCGCCCAACTTTCGCCAACGGCGAGCCATCGCCCTCTTCCGACCCCTCCGGCTCATCAGCGGGGGGCCCGCCGGATGAAGGGTTCAGCAGGTACCTCACCAAGCACAGCCTCCTGGTATGGTCGCCCCCTCCTTGATGGAACAGCTCATCGTACCTCTTGAAAAGCGTGTCAGGCCACCAATTATTCAACTGTCGATGGTGAGAATTAAATGCGCTTTTCACCAGAGATGCCTCGCAACTGCGCAAGTGGACAGTGCTAACCTCGACACCTGCGTCTGTCATGGACTCCTTCAGCTTCGCACACGGAAGCGGCAGTGCGTCAACGGGACATTCGGGCGGCATGAGCGGCGCGGGGGGCAAGGCAGCACCTGCAATATTAGAGCAGATTCGGGCCACGATGTCAACAGCTCTGGCGTGATGATGATGCAATCTGGCAAGCATAGACACCGCGCTGAGGGACCACTCTCTGCGCACCCCCTTTGGTATGAAGAGAATGCCACCCCTGCCACGCTCTCCGACCCAGGCTCGCATAGAGACCGCGCTGAGGGACCACCCCTGCGCACCCCCTCTGGTGTCGACAAAATGCCACGCCTGCCACGCTTTCCGACGGTGGCACGCATAGGGGCCGCGCTGAAGGATCCCCCCTGTGCACCCCTTCTGGTGTCGAGAAAGTGCCACGCCTGCCGCGCTCTCCGACCCTGGCACGCGTGAGACCGCTCTGAAGGGCCACCCCCTATGCACCGCCGCTGGTGTCGAGAAAGTGCCACCCCTGCCACGCTCTCCGACCCTGGCACGCATAGAGACCGCGCTGAGGGGCCACCCCCTGCGCACCCTCTCTGGTGTCGAGAAAGTACCGCACCTGCTACGCTCTCCGACCCTGGCACGCCTAGAGACCGCGCTGAGGGACCACCCCCTGCGCACCATCTCTGGTGTCGAGAAAGTGCTTCCCCTGCCCGCTCTCCGACCCTGGCACGCATAGAAACCGCGCTGAGGGACCACCCCCTGCGCACCCGCTTTGGTGTCGAGAAAGTGCCACCCCTGCCCCGCTCCCCGACCCTGGCACGCATAGAGGCCGCGCTGAGGGACCAACCCCTGTGCACCCCCTCTGGTGTCGAGAAAGTGCCACCCCTGCCACGCTCTCCGACCCTGGCACGCACAGAGACCGCGCTGAGGGACAACCCCCTGTACACCCTCTCTGGTGTCGAGAAAGTGCCACCCCTGCCACACTCTCCGACCCTGGCACGCATAGAGGCCGCGCTGAGGGACCAACCCTTGCGCACCCTCTCTGGTGTCGAGAAGATGCCACGCCTGCCACGCTCTCCGACCCTGGCACGCATAGAGACCGCGCTGGGGGACCACCCCCTGCGCACCCTCTTTTGTGTCGAGAAAGTGCCACCCTTGCCACGCTCTCCGACCCTGGCACGCATAGAGACCGCGCTGAGGGGCCACCCCCTGTGCACCCTCTCTGGTGTCGAGAAAGTGCCACCCCTGCTACGCTCTGCCGTGCCGTACCCTGC